AAAATTCATTCAAATCATAAAAATTCTTCAACGATGAGGTTTCCTCTCCTAGTTGTCTAATACATGACACATCTGCTTTCAGATAGAACGCATCATTTTAATCTAGATAGAGATCAAGATGCTTGGGGTGAATCGTAGAAATAGGGTTGAACCATTAGAATCGCAGAAGATTCATTTCAATCTTTCATATCTGCTTTTAAATTCTGACTGCTCATTTTCAGTCATCCGCAGATAAACACCAAAAAACTTTTGAATCCCACCAAACCAGTAATGAGACATTCAGAAACATCACATTCTCACCTTCAGAAGGACAACAGTGATACTGTTGCTCTGCACCTAAATGACAGAAGTAGTTATCAGGACAAGGCGATTTCGGCCCACATACATATGGTTGATGGTTAACAAAATAAGCAGTTCCAACTCGACACGGATTCTCGAATACTGAAATGGAATAATTTCAAGATCGGGAAGAGAATTTTGATCAGCACGATAGCATAACCTTCAACCATTTTTCCCGATGTGATTCATAAACATTTTCTTCACATGAGAAGTGTTCTTGTTGTGATTAAAATATGTTAGGTAAAAGTTAAAATTCATTAAATATTCAAAGTCATCAATTCTTTCGGCGAGTTTGGAACGCACTACAGCCGAACAGTAAAATTGGCACCTGGGCATTGCTGTTCGCAAGCATCCTTGCTGAGGAAATTGTTTTGATTGCCTTTCAAACCGTGATAATCAAACGGAATGCACTGCATTTGAATGGCGTCGAAAGACCATCTCTCGAGTCGTAGAATACCAATACCAACGGCTTTAGGGGTTTGAGCACAAGGATTACCAGCTGGAATAACACTTCAAAATTGCTGAAATGAACTATTGATACGGCAGAAGTTTATCCTCATCTGGGTATTAATTACACTTCAGTAAATAACTTATCAGTTGCGAGAAGTCAGAAGTTCTGACTGTCAACTGAGAGGGATCTCTAGACGATCAAGATTTCAGTTTGTTGGTAAAGTGATGATCTAACTTTAAAAGTTGCTCCTTCTGGATGCACTGGTCTACGAAGTGATTATCACCAAGAAAATTGCCTACCGTTAGGACAACAGACGGTTGTGTCAGCATCTCCTCCGAAGTGACACCACTGTGATGCTGGACACTGTGGATTATTGACAGAGCACCGATAGATTTGTCTGATGGAATTTGTGAGTGTCGCATATGACTGGGGGCAGGGATCAATAAAGATAGGACAAGCATTCTCACAGTCGTCGAGTGACATAAAATTATTCTGCAAAGTAATCATTCAACCGAAAGTTAAATCATTTTGGACGAATTCAAATCTTTGAGATTAAAATTTTTGAAACTTATTGTCAGCATATCACACAGTGAACAAATACTTTGCTCTTAGTAAGATCGTGAACAAAAAATCATAGATTTTCAAACATGTCACATAGACAGAAATAGGTAGGCAATAGAATTAGAACTATGCAATTTTAAACATAATCTTCAAGATATCTACCCTATAGCTGTTGAATGCATGCTATGACCAGTGCCAGACTGTATTACAGAATTGTTATTTGCTTGTCAGGCAGGCTGATGCANGAAAAAATAAATGAAACATTTCATACCGCGTTTCCTTTCAATCCTCTGTAGGCAAACTGAACACACTGCCTAGTAATCTGATTGAAATACCATCGCATTTGCGCGTAATTGCCTTCACCTTCTGCTCTCGGTAGTGTGCATGGATCTGAATGTCCTGGACAGCACACCGTTGTTGATGGTTCCAGTCCTAGAAAGAACTAGGTAAATGATGAATTTATTGTGAATTGCTGGGTTCTCATCAAATGCCCGCACAAGATTTCCAAAAGTCACCCACCTGGATGGCACCAATACGTCGCAGGACAAGTGCTCTCATCGGATGGTGTACACAACTTCGCTTGACCGTTTGAAAGTACCAATGGGTTGCCACCAACGCAAGGATTCACCCAAACAGGACAAGTGCTCTCGCAATGCTCACGTATCAAGAAATTGTTATCGTTACCGCCGAGACCTGGAATGAGTTAACAGAATGACAACTCTCGAAACGCATGAAGAAGCTCGGATCTGATATAACTTTCTAATATGTCCAGATGAGGCAAATCATTCCTTTACGTGTTTCATAAGCGAAAAAGGATGGAATATTGCGTATGAATTTGGAGTTACCTGTGTAATAGAACTGTTCGCACTGTCGTGTTAACGCATTATAATACCATCTGACGATTCTATGGCTTCCTCTACCAACGGCCAACGGTAAGTTGCACGGGTCACCGACTGAAGGACAGCACAAGGTGGTGTACTCATCATAGCCGATATGGCAGAAGTACTGTCCGGGACAGCGGGCATTCTCATTGCACATCTGAGGACGTTGATCCATGCCCAGTAAAGGCTCACCAACCATACACGGATTTATCCATACAGGGCACGCAGCCTAGAAGTTCGTTTGGTAGGATTAGTTAATGTGGTGCTTTATCCGGCTCTGGGAAATTATCTAAACTCTCAATGAAAAGATTCCAGTCACCTTGTTACCTGAAGCGATAAGTTTCAGTATTCAGCTTATGGGCGTCTCACTGAAAGTCTTCAACGACACGGAAATTATAGGAAGTTCTTTTTTT